ACAGTATCCATCCGGGAGCGAATCTATACGAGCGTGGACTGTGCCTTACTGTACAGACCCAGCTCTCCGGGCAACATGCTAGTCTAGACGTGCTTGAATCACATTCACATTCACACTTGATCCATCATCGAACGTGCGGGCCTCTTTTTTCCCTTTCCCGATACGCCCAGCCGGGTATGTTCCCACTGCATCATCCATCCGCCTCGGGCCTACCACGCCGGACGTGCATGTCATTCGCTGTTGAGCTGCCGACTTTGAGTCTGTCCTCTTACCACGCCCTATTTTTCTTCGCCATGCCTGGATAGTAGCAAGTACCGGGCGTTGGTTTGGTCCATGGCTGGCTCACCACATCACACTTGACTGTACGGAGCACGAAAGCAACGGTGACATGTACCTGGTAGCAGCAGCAGCAGCAGCAGATCCTGGTTCGTGACCGGCATTGCCGCAAGTGGTCCCCGAAGAACGACGGAGCCGATACTTTTTTTTCCTTCTTTTTTCATTTGTTCTTTTGATTTTTTTTGTGTGGGTTTCCATGTCTGCCCGTCTGTCTGTCGGTGACAAAACGGCCCCCAACATTTGATCTCGACAAGCCGGGCAGCCCTGGGGTAAATCCAGCACGTACATGGACGTGGAGTTGTAGTTGAATGATGATTTTCCGAGGCGGAGCAATACGCCCATCAAACGGAAATGCCCTCGTTGGATTTCTCCTTCTTCTAGTTTGTTTTTGCGCTGCTTACTCCGTACTGCCATCGGGTATGTACCGATTGAACAGCTGTCAATACATGTACTTTGCTTGTGTCCAGTCTGCCAGCTCACCAGACACTTGGAAGCCTGTTCCTTGCTCGTGCAGTGCGCAGTCATCTTGCACAAGTCTAGTACTGTAGTATCCAGCCAATGTGACGGTACGAGTACATGGATGTGATGTTAGTACCGCGGACAGAGCACGCACAAGAATAGCGGCACCTCTGTCTCAGCAAGAAACAGGAGCCCAGCCCAGCCCAGCCCAGACACATCAACGCCGGAACAGTGCAAACAAACAAACTGAACAAACAGAGGCGGCATCATGCATCAATCTGCCCGTGCCATGTTGTGACGGCGTCTGCATCTTGCCGCTTCTTCCCCCCTCCCCTCTCTCTTGTTACTGTAGCCCTTTTAAAATTGGCCCTCCAAGTGAAGTCATGCCTACCAGACACACATCATCTGCCAACGTGTGTGTACGAGAACTGTATCGCGTATAAGGTACGTGTACTCGTACATGCGCTCCTTGTAGCTGGATCCAGCAGGACCCCCAATTGCCCCAAATATTGATGTGATGTGATGGATGGGGGGCACGCAGAGTACGAGTACTGCAGTGTACCTGCCGGGCATCCATGGATCACCGCGACATGGTGTCATTGCCAGGTACGGGTACATGCACTGCACCCTTTCCCCCAGCCCTGTGGCCTCCTTTCTTGGTGTTGGCAGGACTTGGACTCGTGGTTGTTGCAGGTACCTCGACTCCAGCCAGTCAGTCAGTTCTCATCCTCGTGCTGGTGCCAGGTACTCCGTACTTACATCCATGTAATATCAATATCAATGCTGTGTGTGTAAGAGGGCATTCACATTGACGCTTCGTGTTTACACCAGCGCGGTAACGATGTACAGGACAGGACAGGACAGGCACCATGCCGGGGGTCATCATCATCATCATCATCGTCGTCGTCGTCGTCGTCACAGAGCCTCGTCACACACGAGACACTGACCCAGACAGACACACACTCAATCTTTTTGTTCTGCTGCTACCTGGACATGCCCAGCCAAGGCCAAAGACATGCATATGCCTGCAGCGGCACTACGGAGTCGAACCCGAGCGGATCATCACAGTCCCACTGCTGTCTTTCCTTGCTGCTTCTTTCTTCATGCTTGCTTGCTTGCTGTGTTTTGTGGGGGGGGGGGGGGGGGGGGGGGGGGGGGGGGGGGGGGGGGGGGGGGGGT